TTTTTTTGTTTTGAATATGGCAGACCAACACGGCTACCTATCTGTAACTGGAACCCTGGATCAGTATAGCTGATATTTTAATGCAACCATCAATTTATTAGGGTCAGTTTGCGACAAAAAGGGCTTTTACCAGACCTCAAACCTCCTTGCATTAATTAATTTCCCCACCTTTTCACTCCAGGCGTATTCCAGGATGTGTGCTAGAGGTGAGAAGGATGCAGAAAGGTGGAAAGCAGGGCCGTTTCCTGGATTGGGATCCATCATTTTCCCAATGAAAATAGGGGCATCCTATTCCATTATTATTATTATTATTAGTAGAAGTAGTAGTAGTATTTATTATTATGCCCCAGCCACTGTGGGTGGCTTCCAATGTATATAAAAACATAACAAAAGATTAAACATTAAAAAACTTCCCTATACAAGGTTGTTTTCGGATGTCTTCTAAAGGTTGCATAGTTACCTCCTTAGCTCAGGGGTCGCATAACTCCATCCCCTCCAGCATTTCTCCAATGAAAAGTGGGACATTCTAAGGAAAAGAGGGACATTCTGGGATCAAATCAGAAACTGGCAAAGCTTCTGTAAATCTGGAGCCATTGAGCGAATCAGTATGTGCCTTAGTGATTCTGGGGGTGCCTGTTCCAATAATAATAATAATAATAATAATAATAATAATAATAATAATACTTGTACCCCACCCATCTCACTGTGTTGCCCCAGCCACTACAGAGAACAGAGGTCTACCAATGGGAAGCTTTATTATATCATATTTATTATATTTTATTATTTTATTTTATTTCCTTCCAAGAAAAAACCTCTTCCTGGATTGCAGGGCATTGGGCTAGATGACCCTTTAAGATTCTACAGTTCGATAGTGAAGTTAGCTACCAGCACACAGCCTCTTTTCTGCGTGAAACTTTGAGAAACAGAACCACCCTTCCTTTTTAAAAAGGCACAGGCTTTTACATGACCCCGAACCCTTTAAGTAAGAAGTGGGAAACCCTGTATCATGTCCTTCCAGGACTGGGGGAATTATCACCTTTATATCTTCTGAGCCCCCTGCCCAAATTCTCCACCCGCAGTCACACACCCCTCCAAAGATTCCCGATTCAGACCCCTTTCCCTCTCTCCCCTCCTCTCCACCCTTTCCCCATAACGAGGGTGAATGAATTTCCGCTCTGCTCTTCTCAATCTCCCATCAGGCCATTAGCTTACGAAGCTTCCTAGAGCAGCAGGCCCAGCTGAAGCTCTTGTCTAGGAGGGTCACCTTGCTGGAAGCTATCATCTGGCCAGGTAACAACAGAGGGGGGGGCTCCCCCTCTCCCCTTTCCCTAGCATGCTGCATTCACTAATGCAGAGAGCCCATGGCCAGGAGACCCCCCCCTACTTTGCTTGCAGACATGGGCTTTCTTTCCTTCCCCGTCATCCCAAACTCTGCATGCCACTAGTCCACAATGTCCAGGTTTTTAATACCCCCTCTCCATAGCCCTGCTGCAGTCAGAGCTGCTTTTATGTGGGATTTTGCCTTTCCTGACCCATAGCCACTGGGGTGGGGTGGAGGGAGACTTAAGGGGGATACATCTGGTGATGGCTGAGGTGGGGAGGGACTGCTCCTCTTCCTCCCCACCCCTCCAAGCATGAGCTCAGAAGTAAAAAAAATAATTGCTTGCCTTGCACCAAGAGTTAACGCCAGCTTGAGGGTGTATTGGATTTGTCAGACTGCTGGATATCCAACAGCATGGGGCGGGCCTGCCTTTCCGATGGAAGTCTGTGCATGCTCAGTGGCAGTCTCCTCTCAAGTCAGCTTGCACCTTGTAGCTTAAGTCTGCCTGAAGGAGGTCGGCTCAAGCACTGATCTGCCTCTTCACCCACCTGGGAATGCACCAGCCAATCCGAGAACGATGTTAGCAAGGAACCAGTGCAGAGGTTCGAGTAGGGGAGTCCGCTGGCTAACTGCAGCTAAGAGACTGACTTTGCAGCATTCTGTTTGTAGCAGGAGCTCCAAATCAGGACGTACGATGGGGGCAGCTTCTCCCCTGCTTCTTGTTCACCGTCATTCAGATACCCTGAGCCTGCAGGTGACGGTTCCACTTGCCTGCTGCGGTCAGGCGATGTTGCTGGATACCCAGTTAGGCAGATTTCCCCCACCCATGTGTCCTCGGATGTCACAACTCCCACCAGCACCAGCCAGTGTGAATCAAAGGTGGCTGGGAGTTGTAGCACAACAATGTTTGGGGAACCCAAGGCTGAGATAGGCTCATTCTAAGGTGAGATTCCTTCTGCAGTTTCCCCACTTCAGATTCATTTGAAACAGCAGTTAGTTTAGTTTACATTAAGGAAATCAGGGTTTTGCTCTAGGAAGACACTGGATCTTGCAGTCAACTTTGAATACAGGCATGGCGGGAGGGACCCCCAGAATCCCTAAGGAGCACCCACACCTTGTTTGTTCTCCTTGAGCAGGGATAGGGAACCTGCAGGCTCTCCAGAGGTTGCTGCACTATAACTCCCTTCCTCCTTGACTGCTGGCCATGCATGGGACTCCAGCAACATCTGGGCAGCTGTGGGTTCTCCGCTTGAGCCACCTAGACATTTTCCACACCTCTGGAACCATGAGGACCAGAAACTTGTTTTCTCTTTTAAAAAGTTCACAAAATGACAACTGAGGTTCTTGGGTTGCCAAATTCGGCAGCGGACGAAAAGCAGCTCAGCTCTGACTCTTGCTTGTCCTTCCTCTCCCGTTGACAGAACCGGAACCGGGATCCGGACTGGGCCTTTCCTCCACCAGCATGCCTGGCTACGACCGGGGGAAGCGCGACGAGAGCCTGGCAGCCTACAAGATGATCTCCCACCACCTCTCTCAGAGGAGCGAGGAGGAGAGGAAATGAGGAGGGGGCCGTTGGCCTGCCCGTTGGCAGCTGCAGACGAAGAGCATCCTTTTTGAGGAGGGCACGAGAGGCCTCTTTCGGGGTGCCCCCCCAAGACCCAGCCCTCTTCCTCCCACTTTGGACTGCCTCCCCCCCCCCCCCACGGAGAAGCAGTGGAGAGGTGTGTGTTGAGGAGGGCGCTTGCTTGCCCACAGCCTGCTTCCATATTTATTTCGCGCAAAGGGTTGTGTGTGTGTGTGTGTGTGTGTCTCTGTAACGGTTGCTGCGATGCACCCCACGCCTTCACCCCACGAACTGTTGCCACAATTAAGCCGCTAAGCATTCTTTGCGGCCGCCTGATTGTCTCGTAGGGAAAGCCGTTTATCCCTTGGTGCTATTTAATGGGGATATTTTCCCCCCTGCACAGCACAACTGCACCCTCTCCTGTAACTTGCTGTTTTTCTGGCGCTTGGGACTTTGACCTGGAAATTTAACTAGTTTTTCTACTAAATTTCTCCCGATCCCTGAATCGCCCATTTCCCCCTTAGCCTGGCCCAGGCAAGGATAACCGAGGAGAGAAACTGGGCTTTTCTGGACTACTGTTTTCAATCGCAGTTGTGGAAGACATCATGATATCTTTGCCGGGAAAACAAAAGTTCCCCACTCGCTTCCTAAGAATGGGGAGCTCTGGTAGGGTCAGGTCAAAGGGGTTCCTAGGGCTTCACTTTCGCTCGGGATGCCCAGCAGTGTGTGTTTGTGGAGAGAGGACAAACATTTTCTCTTCCCTGGTAGAAGTTGCCAGCGCTGAACTGTGTGGACGTTGTAAGAACTACACCAGTGGCTGTCCCAACAAAGGATTTGCATGCGTAAGTCCTTTGTGATTGGATCCCTGGGTACAATTTTAGCAGCCGGATCAGATCCGGCACGCAAGCTGTGTATCCCAAGTTGTCAGGTGGGCTGCGAAGGCAATTCAAAGGGAGGTTGGATGTTGGAACAGGTGGGGAGGTGCTGCTGGTGCTGCCATGAAGCTTCAAGCACCTGGGAGACGATCAGACTACTCTTAATGCAAAGTCTTGTGGGCAAAGCAGATCAGGGAGAGAGAAGGGTGTGTGTGTGTGTTTATCTATGTGTGTCTGCCTCCATATAATGTATGTACTCTCTGGGATTTTGGCTGATAACAGGGACCAGGTCAATAAAGCTTCACTGAACAGGAGCCTCTGCCTGAATTGAAGGGAATGTAGATGGCCTTACCTCAAACCTGAGCTAAGATGATGCTCTCTGTACGGATCCTTTGCTGCATTTTGTTAAATGTCCATCAGGCATCAACTTGGCAAAGGTGACTTTTCAAGTCCTCTCCTACTGCTTTAAGAGTCATGGCTCACTCCCAGAAAATCCTGGCACCTGTAGCTTGTGAACAGCCCTGAAAGCTGTTAGGAACACCCAGGGGCCCCCCCCTTAAAAAAAACGTTTAGGGGTAGTCTCATTTTGACTCAAGAAAATCACCATTTTATAGTTCAAATTGGGGGAAATAAATACAGTAAATGGACAAAAGTACAAAGATTCACAAAATGTTTAGGGGTATGCGTCCCCCCAGAAAAAAAAGCACTGGGAACACCTTGGCGGACAACAGTTCCTAGGATTATTTGGGGCACGTTGCGACTCCCACCCCCAACACATGAATCCTGGGAACTGTTATAGTATCACAGAATTGGATGGGACCCAACAGGTCATCCAGCCCAACCCCCTTGCAATGCAGAATTCGCAGTCATCTGTTATTCCTTTGAACGTTTTAAGAGTACTTTAAACATACAGTGCAGACATGACTCTGTTCTGCATGTGGTGAGAATGCCCTGCTCCACCCCTTCAAAGTGGCTGTATGAGAAAGGCCCAGATTTGAGTTCTGGATGCTTTAGGTCAAACTCGGAACCCCGGAACTGAGATCCCTGCTACAACTCCCAGGTGAGTGGCGGAGCTCACAGGCACAGAGAGAGGTCCCTTTTTCACGAACGCCTAATGCATGGTAGCCCAGATGGATTGGCCGCTGGGGGCGGCCTTTGCCCATGTTCCCACCACCTCCTGACACGTCTCGGGAGATGGTTTCCGCAAACACCCATGGAACACATGGAAAAATGACTGCAATCAGGTGAAACCTCTGGCTTTGTTATTCCAAGAATCCCCAGGATGGGATGGAAGAAGCCACTGGGTCTCCCCTTTTGGAGGATTTCCCAAGTGACTTGCAGCCCTTGATATATGTGCATTGTCTCTCACTCTTGCCCTTGTGATGCACCAGCCTGGCTGGGCTGTACGGCAGCCACCCCATAGCAGCAGGACGGCCTTGGCTTCAATGGTGGGTCTCACTTTCCTTCCTTCCCAGTTGAGTCCACAGCGAATCGCCGCTCAACTTCACCGGCCGTGGCTGGTTTTCTGGCCTGGACGCTGGCACCGTTCAGGCTGGCTTGCCAACCTCTGTCTACTCGCTGGCTGGTGCCTGGAGGAGGTCGCTAGCGATGAGCAGAGCGGCTCTCTGCCGTCACCACGGCTTGGTCTCCGACATGGCCTCCGATCAGCAGTGAGACAGCACCCTCCACGTGGCCTGTGGCTGCCAGTGCAACAACTGCCCGCTCGGTTGGGAAGCCCATTTTCTGGAGCTGCTGGAGCCTGAAAGGGCAGGGGGCGGCAAGTTAGATAGTTGTTTATTTCTTTGACATCTGATGGGAGGGCATTCCACAGGGTGGGTGCCACTACCGAGAAGGCCCTCTGCCTGGTTCCCTGTAACTTTGCTTCTTGCAGGGAGGGAACGGCCAGAAGGAACTCAGAGCTGGACCTCAGTGTCCAGGCTGAACGATGGGGGTGGAGACGCTCCTTCAGGTATACTGGGCCGAGGCTATTTAGGGCTTTAAAGGTCAGCGCCAACACTTTGAATTGTGCTTGGAAACGTACTGTTGTCTGCCTGGGGCGAAAAGAGCTTTTAAGCTCTGCTTCACTCGGGGAGCAAGGCCTGCTAAGCATGCCAGCTCTGGGATGCTCATGTGAAATCTCACGGAGCCATCAAAGATCCCAGAAAGTCTCGTGTGAGATCTCTAGCCTCCCGGAGTTGGTGTGCTGAGCAGGCCTTGCCTTCCAAAGCAAGGCAGAGTGTTTCAAAGCTCTGTTTTTGTCTGCTCCCCTTGGGGTTACCTGCTACCAAATGTCCCCCTACCCCTGCTAGCCACAGGGTTGGCTCTAAGGGTTTGGGGACCTGCAATCAGAGACACGCAGAACTCTTTGAACCAAAGCCCCACGCGAGATGCGATTGCACTGTATCCATCTCTCTGATGCCCCACCAAACCCCATCAGGAAGGGAGCTTTAGCTTTCCCCCGGGAAACCCTTACCGGAGAGAAGAAACCGAAGATTTGGAAAGTTTCACCTCTTCCTCCGCCATATCCTGCAGAGAAGCCTGGATCCCGGCTTGGAGCAGCTCTTCATCCATCAGGGATCCTTGGAGGGCCGAGAAAGGAGCACCTAAAGCCCCATGGTGGATGGGGAAGGGAGGCAGGGAACCAGCAGCAACTGACTGCCTACATTCCTGCTCCAGCGCTGCGGTTTCTCCACTCCAGTAAGAGGCAGGTGGCGAAGCCAGAAAGAGAGGCTGTGTAGGGAAATCTGCTGGGGGAAACGCTTGGGTTGGCGACTCCGGAGAATGAGGAATCCTGGGAGAGAGAAAAAGGTAGGCAAGGCTGTGATCTTGAGCCAAAGAAGACTGAAGCTCAGTGGTGGAGCACTTGCCTGCAGAAGGTTCCCAATTCCCCACCCCCCAAATATTTACTTATTATATTTTCAGGTATACATTTCCCCACAATTAAATATAGAACAATACAGCCAACGATTTCCCTTCTCCTTCCATGGTTCTTTGTACTTCCAAAATTAACTGAGTACAGTCGTACCTCGAAAGTCGAACGGAATCCGTTCTGGAAGTCCGTTCTGAGTTCCAAAATGTTCAGAAACCAAAGCGTGGCTTCTGATTGGCTGCAGGAAGCTCCTGAAGCCAATCGGAAGCCCCATCAGAGGTTCGAGTTCCAAAGAACGTTCGCAAACTGGAACACTCACTTCCGAGTTTGCGGCGTTCAGGAGCTAAGGTACAACTGTATTATATTTCCTTTGTTCTGGTTTCCCCCTTTCTGTTATATCTTAATCCAAACTATACCGTTGAATTTACAATAATCCTGCTAGCGTTTTCATTTGCTTACAATGGTTTTTCTGCAAATGTTCTCCATTCCTCTTTATATACCCATTCTTCTTGTTCTGCTGCCCTGCTGGCTAGGCCTGCTAGCTCTGCGTATTCCATCATTTACCAGCTGCCATTCTTCCCTCTTTGGAGCCTCTCCCACCTTCCATTTCTGAGCTAACAAAATCCAAGCTGCAGTCGTTACGTACATAAATAGCTTTTTTCGCCCCCTGGCTACCTCTATCTGTAACATACCCAGAAGAAATGCCTCTGGGCCTTTGGAGGAGGGATGTTCTTTTAAACAATTTTTTCATTTCATTACAAATCATTCCCCAATACAGTGCTACCTTGGAAGTCGAAAAGAGTCCATTCCGGAAGTCCATTTGACTTCCAAAACGTTCAGAAACCAAGGTGTGGCTTCTGATTGGAAGCTCCTGCCGCCAATCAGAAGGTGCGTCAGACATTCGAGTTCCAAAGAATGTTCGCAAACTGGAACACTTCCAGGTTTGCGGCATTCGGGAGCCAAAACGTTCGACTCGCAAGGTGTTCGGGATCCAAGCTACGACTGTAATCTGAAGTTTCCCAGGTTCAATCCCCAACGTGTCCAAACAGGGCAGGGAATGTCCCCTGCCTGAAATCTGCTGCTCGTCTTTCTTATTAAGTCCCAAACGACGACCCCTTCGCCCGACCAGCCCTACAAAGAAAGCCTGGGTTCCCAATTCACCTGTCTCTCCTGGCGGCTGGGTCGGCGGTGGGGAGGATTTCAGCAGGTTCTGCCGGGGACCGGACGAAGTGGAAGAAAGAGCCTCTCCCCTGGAGGGTCTTAAAGATGATTCCGCCGTGCAGCTTTTCCAGGCGTCTCTCGGATAATTCCAGCGGGGAGAAGACCCCGGCCCAGACTGTGGCGTCAAGGGAAATGAGAGCCTAAGCAGACCCTGGTTGCTGGACCCATCCAGTCCAACCTCCTGATCTCACAAAGACCAACAAGATGCACTATAAACCAGCAGTTAAACACCCCCCCAAACCCATCTTTTCGGAAAGGATACAGGCCAGGCCTGTGAGCAGCCCACTCAGATGCAGGAGGAAAGGAGAGCTGGGGGAGAGAATCCAGCTCAGACCCAGCAGCAGCACAGCCAGCAGAGGAGGGGAAGCCCACTTCCAGGGACCCCCCTGTTTCCGACGCCCTTGGGGGCACCCCAGCAAGCCCAGGTGCACGGGGGTGTAGCCCCCAACAGCAGAGCCGGCCTGAGCACCCTGCAGCCATGCTAGGAGGAGGTAGAGGAGGGCCGAGGCGAAAGCGCCAAGTGCCGAAGAGTGGAGGTAGCGCAGAGTGCCCTGGCGTCGCTCCTGATGCCAACTCAGCAGCGGAAAGAGGAGCAGGTTGAGGAAGAACAAGGGCGCCTCCGTGAGGCACAGGCAGTAGGTCACGAGGCGATATGCTGTGGGGAGGAAACACAGGGGGTGGTTAACAACATGCCATTATTCTTATTAAATTATTCGTCCTATTGAAAATTTTCGGTTGGGAAATAAAGTGGAAAAAAGTCAAAACAAGGACAAAAGGAGGGGGGAAGTGATTGAAACTGTGGTAAAATACAATACAGTGGTACCTTAGGTTAATTCATTCTGGAGGTCTGTTCTTAATCTGAAACTGTTCTTAACCTGAGGTACCACTTTAGCTAATGGGGCCTCCAGCTGCCGCACGATTTCTGTTCTCATCCTGAGGTAAAGTTCTTAACCCAAGGTACTACTTCTAGGTTAGCAGAGTCTGTAATCTGAAGTGTTTATAACCTGAGGTGTTTGTAACCCGAGGAACCACTGTACTCGTTTAAACAGCCTTAAAATATCAATGACTTCCCTTCTCCATGGTTCATTTTGCCTCATATCACAAATCCATGCATATTTTACATAAACTAAACCATTCTAAATCCAGCTGGATTTAGAAGAGGCAGAGGAACCAGAGACCAAATTGCAAACATGCGCTGGATTATGGAGAAAGCTAGAGAGTTCCAGAAAGACATCTACTTCTGCTTCATTGACTATGCAAAAGCCTTTGACTGTGTCGACCACAGCAAACTATGGCAAGTTCTTAAAGAAATGGGAGTGCCTGATCACCTCATCTGTCTCCTGAGAAATCTCTATGTGGGACAAGAAGCTACAGTTAGAACTGGATATGGAACAACTGATTGGTTCAAAATTGGGAAAGGAGTACGACAAGGCTGTATTTTGTCTCCCTGCTTATTTAATTTATATGCAGAATACATCATGCGAAAGGCTGGGCTGGATGAATCCCAAACTGGAATTAAGATTGCCGGAAGAAATATCAACAACCTCAGATATGCAGATGACACAACCTTGATGGCAGAAAGTGAGGAGGAATTAAAGAACCTTTTAATGAGGGTGAAAGAGGAGAGCGCAAAATATGGTCTGAAGCTCAACATCAAAAAAACGAAGATCATGGCCACTGGTCCCATCACCTCCTGGCAAATAGAAGGGGAAGAAATGGAGGCAGTGAGAGATTTTACTTTCTTGGGTTCCATGATCACTGCAGATGGTGACAGCAGCCACAAAATTAAAAGACGCCTCCTTCTTGGGAGAAGGGCAATGACAGGCCTAGACAGCATCTTGAGAAGTAGAGACGTCACCTTGCCAACAAAGGTCCGTATAGTTAAAGCCATGGTTTTCCCAGTAGTGATGTATGGAAGTGAGAGCTGGACCATAAAGAAGGCTGATCGCCGAAGAATTGATGCTTTTGAATTATGGTGCTGGAGAAGACTCTTGAGAGTCCCATGGACTGCAAGAAGATCAAACGCATCCATTCTTAAGGAAATCAGCCCTGAGTGCTCACTGGAAGGACAGATCGTGAAGTTGAGGCTCCAGTACTTTGGCCACCTCATGAGAAGAGAAGACTCCCTGGAGAAGACACTGATGCTGGGAAAGATGGAGGGCACAAGGAGAAGGGGGCAACAGAGGACGAGATGGTTGGATAGTGTTTTCGAGGTTACCAGCATGAGTCTGACCAAACTGCGGGAAGTAGTGGAGGACAGAGGTGCCTGGCGTGCTCTGGTCCATGGGGTCATGAAGAGTCGGACACGACTAAACGACTAAACAACAACAAACCATTCCATTATGACATCCATCAAAACCTATTTGCACTGTTGGATTTATTTTAACGCTGCCAATGTTTTCAAGCGTACACAATTTTCCCCCATGTATTCAATAAACATTTTCCAATCTTCTCTAAACGTACGTTCTTGTTCTCTTATTCTATATGGTAAGACCACAAGCTGCACATGTTCTGTCAGCTTAAGTTGCCATTCTTCTTTAGTTGGGACCTGGCTCGTTTTCCATTTTGGGACAAATAAAACATGGGCCGCAGTAGTGGCACACATAAATAACATTTTCTGACACCTGGGAATTTCCATCTGAATTATTCCCAACAAAAAGGACTCTGTGGTTGTTGTTTTTTGAAAAGTATTTTAAAATGTTTTTTTCCAATTCATTATGGATTATTTCCCAATTCTCTTTACTCTCTTACAAGTCCACCACATGTGAAAGAACGTTCCCTTCAAGGTTCATCGAGTACAACTGCCTGAAATGCAGGAATCTCAGATGAAGCACCCGCGATGGGCCGCCGTGTACAATTATTCTAACAAGTATAAAATTATTAACTAGCCTTCGTGATATATTTTTTTATAGAGGCATTCCAAATATCATTATATTTGCGAACCCACAAATCTAAAAGCCATCCATTTGTATGTTGCAAGAGCAGTCGTGTCTTCTAGCCATTGTTCAAGAGGAGGCGAGGGGCATTTTATTATCATCCCACTGAATAAATATCCATCTTTTAGCAGAAGCAAGTTTACATCGTAATGGCCAAGAATTCTGAAACCAAGAAACAGGGACGGATGCTCTCTCTCTCCCCACCCCCACCCAATCCTTTTTCTGTCAAGTCTTGAAAATCGTAACCCAGAGAGCAGGGACTGGCTGGTTGTTGACAGCTGTCAGCTGCCCTGGAATCCTGTTGGAAGGGACCCTAAGTGTCATCTAGTCCAACCCCCTGCAAAGCAGCCGTCCCATGTGGGGATCGAACCTGCAACTTTGCCGTTATCAGCATGGGAGCCTTTTTTGGCTTTGAGGGGGCAGGATAAAAACAGTTTGTACAGTGGTACCTCGGGTTAAGAACTTAATTCGTTCCAGAGGTCCGTTCTTAACCTGAAACTGTTCTTAACCTGAGGTACCACTTTAATGGGGCCGCCGTGCAATTTCTGTTCTTATCCTGAAGCAAAGTTCTTAACCCGAGGTACTATTTCTGGGTTAGCAGTGTGTGTAACCTGAAGAGTCTGTAACCTGAGCTACTACTGTATCAATAAATACCCACATGGGATTTCGGGGGGTGGGGGTGGGATGAGAGTGGTGTGCTGGACCCAAGGAGCCCAGAACGGTTAGGGAGGCAACACGCCAGGGGGCAGGAGCCTCAGGTAGCATACCTTGGAAAGGGCTGCTGAGCAGGAGGTTAGGCGATAACGCCAAGCTTTCGTCTACGCCCATCAACCAGAATAGGCAGAGAAGCACCATGAGGGTGAATGATGCAACTGGGGGGCGCCATAACCCCCATGGCCTGGTCCAAAGTCTCTTCATCAGCATGCCCCTAAGGGGAAGGAAAAGACAAGGGAGAAAGTGGCAGGGTTATATTAAAACCAGAAGGCAAGAAGCCATCCATTTGCTAAAGCTTTTAATCACTGGTTATTCAGAGGAGTGTACATCTAGTAAAGACTCTGGGATTTGTGGGGCTTTCATATTTACGGCACTTTAAGAGTCAGGCCCGCAACCCCAAAGAATCCTGAGTTAACTCCTGACGGAGCTACAATTCCTAACGCCCTTAACAAACTGCAGTTCCCGGGATTATGCCTGGTGTGCGGGGGGGGGGGCGACGGGGGGAACCTCAGGTTTGTAGCTCCTAACTAATGGCTCCTGCTGACTGCCCAGATCAACCTGTCAGATTATGAATTTGGCCACAGGGCAACTGAGCTGTGGCAAATTGCTCTGGCCTGATCCTGAGTCAGCCCTCACCAACCGAGCTCAGCGGCTGAGCATCTGCTTTACATGCAGAAGTTCCCAGCTTCAATGCCCCCAGCAGCAACTCCAGGTCAGGCTGGCAGCATTCTCTGCCTGAAACCCCAGAAAGCTGCTGCCAGTCAGTGTAGACAATACTGAGCTAGATGGACCTATGCTCAGTCCAAGGCTGCCTCCTCACATTTTTTGGACCACAACTGATTGATGGGAGCCGCCAAAAGATCGGGAAGGCCCTGGATTGTCAAACTGCACGCCCAACTCTGCACTCGATTGGTTTGGGTGCCTCACAATCCTGCGATTAAAGGTCTTATAGGTGAGAGGATTGTCCCTCATCAACGCTGGAACACAGTTTTTCTTCCCATGTAGAATGAAACCCCAGGGACACGGGTGGTGCTGTGGGTTAAACCACAAAGCCTAGGACTTGCTGATCAGAAGGTCAGCGGTTCGAATCCCTGCGATGGGTTGAGCTCCCGTTGCTCAGTCCCAGGTCCTGCCCACCTAGCAGTTCGAAAGCACGTCAAAGTGCAAGTAGATAAATAGGTACCGCTCCGGCGGGAAGGTAAACGGAGTTTCCGTGCGCTGCTCTGGTTCGCCAGAAGCGGCTTAGTCATGCTGGGCACATGACCCGGAAGCTGTATGCCAGCTCCCTCGGCCAGTAAAGCGAGATGAGCGCCGCAACCCCAGAGTCGGTCCCGACTGGACCTAATGGTCAGGGGTCCCTTTACCTTTTAGAGTGAAACCCAGCTGGTTCAGAAGAGCCCCCAAAAAGCATGCATGATGCACAAGTCACTTATGGAACTCACTGCTGCAGGATGCAACTAGATGACATTTTGAAAAAGCTGCAACTGGTTTTGAGCACGAATGAAATAACTTAAGGGGGGCATGTGCAAAAGAGGATCCCTGCACCTTTCACGATTGTGCAGGAGATAATTTCTGGGAGCAAAGCTTGCATGCCTGAGCTGATCCAACATTTTTTACAAGATCCACCGGCCCAGCATCTCACGACGGGGATGAAGGCAGCCAGATCCTTCCTTCCTTTTTGATCTGCAGCCTCTCACCCTCAATCTCGGCTGTTTGCAATTCTTTCCCACTGGGCAAGAACATTGCTTGGAGAAAACTGGGGAACACTCCCCCCCCGTCCCTCCCCCTATTCCTTTTTCTTTTACCAAGCGCAAGGCTGGCGGCGTGCATGGGGTTGCACCGGCCGGATGGGCAACTCGTCAGCCGGGAGAAAAGGACCAGCGCGCAGCCATTTTGGACATGGCAGTTTGGGATCTGTGAGGCCGGTCGGCGCTGATCCTCTCTACGACTTGCACATGCTTTTGCAACGAGGCAAGGGAACGTCGCTAAAGAGGAACCAGAAACGAAGGAGCTCCGGGGGGGGGGGCAAGATTAGAACTCATATCCCATCTGCTTCTGCAAAGTCCTTAGTGGTATTTTTTTGTTTGAGGGTAGGGGGTAGGAATGAGTTTCAGTTCTCTGTTCTTTTTGCCTGTCTGTGCAGAGATGGTTTACTCAGTCCCTCCTTTTCTGCACTGCTTACTCAGCAGTGAGGCCGCCAACGTGGCTGACTTTAAAAGAGGACAATTTTACAACTAGCCACAATGCCTATGTTCTCTTGTTTCCACAGGCAGAGGCAGCAATGCCAGTCGCTGCAAACCGCAGCAGGGGAGAATGGCTTTACTCTTGATTGCGGGTTTTCACTATTGAGAACAGGGTGCTGGACAGAGTGGGCCGACCTGGACCAGTAGCAGGCTCCTATGTCTACTTAGAAGTAAGCACCTCTCGTTCTGTGGGCTTTTTGCCCTGGAAATGGGTTAAGGAATTAAGCAACTAAACAGTGCAGTCACTCAGTTCTTAATCACCTTATTTCAATTTCTCAGCAATGGGCTTAACAAACAAACAAAAACCCCTATGCTTGCATCACTTTTCCAGACTCCAGGCTGCATTTGGATTGCAAGCCTCAAAGAGCAGATAATGGTGGGGTTGCAACTTTTTTGTTGTTGTTCCCAAAATGGAGCATGATGCCAGTGCAAAACCGATTTCCGTGTGGGGAGCTCCTGTTATGCGTCCTCTGACTGCCCTATGCGCCATGTGTTCTAAATTCGCTTGCAAGATCATCACCTTGTCATGGTGAGATGGACTCATTGTTCATGGAAGAGAATCTTACTCGGCTACCGAGTGATCACCAAAGAAGAATATATGTTTAAAGCATGTGGCTCCTCCCTCAAAGAATCCTGGGAACTGTGGTTCATTAAGGGTGCTGAGCATTGACAGGATGCCCTTAACAAACTACAGCTCCCGGGATTCTTTGGAGAAAGACATATACTTTTAGTATAAGTAGCATGTACACAGCTCCTGTCTCCTAAGAGAAAACAACACACCCCGAAAGTTGTTGGGCTTTTTTTTAGAAAACCCCCACAGTTATTTAGCAGCCCTAATGCTAGACCTCAGAGTGGACCCACTGAAATTAATGGGCATGCCTAACCTGAGTCCATTTTTAACTAGCATGGAGTGCAAGCCAATGAAAACAACTCCATTCTGCGCACACACTAGAAGTCTGCATCTGTATTGGAAAAGTTTTTAGATGTCTTCATTGTTTTGTCAAAAAGAGTTCTCTTTTCCAAACACATTCCAGAAAATGAAAGGCCAGTCCCAATAGTATAGTTGATAGCATAACACATAATCATCTATATTTTATTTTGGTGTTGGCTTTTTTAAAAAAATGTCATAAAGAAATATGCTAGCATCACATTGGGGTCTCCAAAACGGAGGTTGTGGGGGATGTTTCGTTGTGAAAAACCTGTGTCCAAACTGTGTTGTATAGGACTGTATGTAGGCCCTGAGTTCCTGGGAAATGACAGTATTTTTTAAAAACAGTTCCCTTTCTAAGTGTTCTGAAACTACATAGAAAGAGGTGTGCAAGGAGGGGAACACTTTAAAAAGTCAGGAAATAAGGAGAGGAACAGAACAGAAGAAACTCGAGATGGAAGAACAGGGCGGCTTCGAGAGGTATTGGGAGGAAAGTGTTTCTGGATGACACCCACTGGGTGCCATCAGGGTTTCCAGGAGGTTAGAGACTCAGAACTCGGGTGCAGTGGGAGAGATAGCACAGGCTTCCAAAACTTTGGGAGCCAGTGGGCACATCTGGAATTTTGAGACAGCCGCAAAATGGCTGCCATGAGGTATGTGGCACAATTCAAAATGGCTGCCATGGGACTGTGTGGGGACCCAGCCACGACATGGTGGGCAGACAGGCACAAGCTCCATTTTAAATTCCCACTGGGTGTTTGCTGAGTTGCAGAGATCGTGGAGGACCGGAGTTTCTCCACCATTGCCTTACCTACTAGACTGCATCCACGTGCTGTGATTTGCCATCCCCACAAGAGCATCAAAAATGCCCACACATTTTTCTAAAATGTACATTATTGATGTGCATTATTTTGAAATGGACATTATCAAATGAGAGCTACTTCCTGCAGCTGATAGCGATTTAGGACCCCCGTCCTTTGAATAGACCGCTATGGAGGCCAAAGGCTATCGCTAGATTCAGACACCAAATCTTCTAGATATTTAAGGTTTGTAGATACTGAAAGAGGTTTTGGATAATGTAACAAAATGCAGCTGCATCCTGTCCATCTTTACTCAGAGTAAAGTGGCAGGCTGGTGCAATGTGGGGGCTCCCAAACTGCAGCATGTTTGTAAAAATATAACGTATTTTTCTGTGTATAAGACACCCCCATGTATAAGACGTCCCCTATTTTTAGGGATTCCAATTTAAGAAAATAGGGGGGAGATTGCCCCGTGTATGAGAAGACCCACAGTTTTTCACATAATTTTAAAGTAAAAAAACCTAGTCTTATACACGGAAAAGTATGGTTATTTAAAATTAGGCAGGATCAAGCTCCAGTGTATTGCAATGCTCACAACAGGAAGAGAAATTGTTTAGGGGTCCGCCAATACCTCCAGCAATTTTCAAGTGGTCCATAGGAGGGAAAGGTGGGAACTACTGATATAATCCAGAGGGGAAACCAGTGGCCCTCCAGATGTTGTTGTACTCCCAAGTTCATCACCCTTGACCACTGGCTATGCAGGGCAGGGGCCATTGGGAATTGTATTATTTATTGTATTCCTATCCCACCCATGAAGGGACGTGGTTGATGCTGTGGTTAAACCACAGAGCCTAGGACTTGCTGATCAGAAGGTCAGCAGTTCGAATCCCCACAACAGGGTGAGCTGTTGTTGCTCAGTCCCTGGTCCTGCCAACCTAGCAGTTTGAAAGCACGTCAAAGTGCAAGTAGATAAATAGGTACTGCTCTGGTGGGAAGGTAAACGGCGTTTCCGTGCGCTGCTCTGGTTCGCCAGAAGCAGCTTAGTCATGCTGGCCACATGACCCGGAAAGCTGTACGCCAGCTTCCTCGGCCAATAAAGCGAGATGAGCGCCGCAACCCCAGAGTCGGTCACGACTGGACCTAATGGTCAGGGGTCCCTTTACCTTATCCCACCCAAGAGTGGCACGTATAGTTCCCCTCCTCTCAATGTTATCCTCACAACGTCCCTGAGAGGTAGATTAGGCTGAGAGGCAGTGATTGCCAAGGTCAGCACCCAGTGAGCTTCATGGCTGAGGGGAAATGGAGCCCTGGACTCCCAGGGACTAGTTCCCCTGGCATGTCAAACACGGTTGGTGGCTTGAGGGGTCAGGGACTGCCTCCAAGCCTAGCCTACCTCGCAGGGTTGTTGTGAGGTTAAAGTAGGGAGTGGGGTGGGGAACCCATGTTTAGCAAAGAAGATAAACGAAGGCATTTTCTCTACTTTCAAAGGGGCTTATTCGCCCCCCAATCACCTTCTGGGCCAATCCTCCCAGAGAGCCCGCCCCCTTCCCTCATGTCACTCACATGCACACCCGCCCGACGTTTTTCAATCGCTCTGCTTCTTGGACGAGGATCCCTAAAGCCTCCCGGACGGAACCATCCGCTCAACAGGAGGGGGTTGCGAGCGTCCGTCGCTATTCCATGCGCAAAAAGCCTCTACCGCTCCCCTCCTCCGCATCTTTCCCCTAGCTCTCTTTTTGACTTCTTTGACTCCAACCTGAATTTAGGATAAATACAGAGAGAAGAGGAAGAAAAGAAGTGGCGCGTTCCCGCTCCACCCCCCCCCCGCTTTAACATCGCACAGTGGTGCCGACCCGAGTGGAAAACCTCGCGCCTGCGCAGTGCGCGGCGGCAGAAAGACCGGGAGGACGTTAGTGAGGGAGGAGGAGGCGGCGGAGGAGGAGGAGGAAGAAAGAGAGAGAAAGAAAATGGCGTCGACGGGTGAGGAGAGCCAGGCGAGGCCTAATCTTAACCAGGGGCGGCGGGAGAGACCCTGGGAGCGGGGAGGGAAGGAGAAAGGGGATCCCTCCGTGAGGGGGGGGAATTAGGCGGGGGCTCGGGGCGGGAGGCCGGGAAGTCGCGGCCTTTTGTGGAAAGTTCTCATTCTCTGTGTGGGGGGGGGGAGGGGAATGGTTGCCGGGCGGCCGTTAAGTGGGGGGAGGGGCGGCGGCGGCGGGAAGCGCGTGCGACTTCGTGATTGGCTGGGGGGGTCAGTAGGAAGAGGGAGGGGACGGTCCCCCCCCCCGCGCGCCTTCTTTGGTAGCGCCAGGCCTCGTTTAACCTCATGGGAGGGAGGGAGAAAAAAGGTGTGGGGGTGGGAGGAAGTGGCTGCTGGTGTTGCCCCCGGTGCAAGCCTCAGTGCACGCTTCCTCTCCTCTTTTCCCCCTCAATTACAATTTTTTAAAAAAAACCAAACAAAATTATTTTGTAAATCGACGGGTTGCAAGAGAGCCCCCCCCCTCGGGCGCCCGCCCTCCCCCGCTAAATAATTAACTTGATTCAATTTATAAATTAACGAGTGGAAAGAAGGGAGCCGCGTGAGGTAGGGAGGGCCTTGAGGGCAGTTAATTTTATTTAGAAACTAATTGCTCAGCCTCAAGACCCTTTCTTTATGTCATCCCATTAAATTATAAATCGACAAATTCTCGTCTTTTCTTTTACTCCGCTCTTCAACCGAAGGGGGAGAGAGAAGAGGGGTGCTCCACGCCCCCACACCCCGGAGTGGCATGATGCTCCTGTCCTCTTTCACAAGAGCAGTGATGACGTTGTTTACTGTAATAATTATAAATTAACAATGATGATAAAAATGTCTGGCGCACAGAGAGAATTGAAAAGAAAAGAACACAAGAGATGCGATATTATTACTAAGCTGCTCTGATTATTATTAGGAATTCCTTTTCTCTGCTGCACCCTGCTTTTCAGATAATGGGGAAGGAGGGCAAAGTATTTATTGCAAACGTTTCTGCCCCGTGCCTTTTCACCACTCTTTGATCTCAGTTTCTTTTTCCTATGTATGCTTCTGATGAAGGTGGGCTGTATTCCACAAATAAAATAACTTCATTAGTCTTAAGGTATCACAAGATTTGTGATGGGTGTTACACAGCAGATCCAACACAGCTGCCCTGCTAGAAATTGCTGTATGTGGACTGCATGTGTTTCGTTAATACATAAGGATGCATGCATATACAGACCCACATTTGCATGAATGAGGCTGAGGAAGCAGGCCTCTTTTCTCCATTTTGGGTTTATTACAGACAGAATTAAGCACATTAAAATGCTGCTGACAGTTTTTATGTTTGGGGAATAATTCCACTGGATTTCCTTCTGAGGGAAGATGCATAAGATTTAGCCACATGGCCTGTGGGTTCCAGGGGGAAAGTTGAACACATGCTTTTCGCCTCCATCTCCCAAAATGAAATCAATGGGATTCGTAAATCAAATCAGCTACCTATAAATAGTTTAAAGAATTGTATGTAGATAATGTAAATAATGCATTACAATGTATACACTTTTTGTCAGGGTGGTGTCCTTAAAAGCAGCTTACAGTAAAATCAACTGAGGATGCATTTTTCATTGCAGTCTGTACCGAAGTAGGCTTCCATTCTGTTAGAATAATTTTTTGGCAACAAAACTGATCCAGAGAAGCAATGAAATGCCTATATAGATCAGTCTCTGAAAACCACAGGGACAAAAAAATGTCATGAGAGATTACCAACTGATTCTGGTGCAAAGACTGATCCAGGGAAGAAGAATTCCTTTCTTTTGATAGAACATTCAGCAACAGCCTGCAACTTAAACAAATTTATCTTGTGTGCTTTCAGCTTTAAAGTAAGCTGGTGGGGTTCCAGGAAAAATGAGTTTAGCAATCCCACTCGCCATTGAATACAATGTGTTTTGATTATATATTATTTTGGCTTTCGGCATGATCCCTGGATCCTAACCCCAAAGTAAGTTGCAGGCTTATGGTATATGGAGAATTTGGCTTGGGGTAGTGAAATTTCTTTGGTGATGCTCATTTTTCTTTTTTTGGTCTGTGTTGAATATTAAAATAAGGTGCAAGTAACATTTTAACATTTAAGCTATGTTAAACCACATAAAATACAAAAAAACCAATAGGAGAGATGGAAAAAGATATGTGTTTACTGTTAGTTTGTCTTACTATGATTTTGTTAGTCTCACATGTTTTGTCTATAAAGCAGATGGGGGATAAGTTATATCTGTGGGAGATGTTGTGTACTCTGATGAAAGTACAGAAATACATGTTTTGCTACAACAACAGTAGCAGCACCAGAACAAGAAGAAAAAAAGAAAAGCAATCACCGGTTTCTCATCTTAGTACAGTGGTACCTCGGTTTAAGAACAGCCCTGTTTACAAACGATTCGGTTTACGAACTCCGCAAAACCGGAAGTAGTGTCCCAGTTTGGGAACTTTACCTCAGTCTAAGAACGGAATCTGAACGGTGGAAGGGCACCGGCGGTGGGAGGCCTCATTAGGGAAAGCGCACCTCTGTTTAAGAACGGATTTGGTTTAAGAATGGACTTCAGGAACGGATTAAGTTCGTAAACCAAGGTACCACTGTACTCATTCCCCCACTACATACAATCCAGAAAACCTCATTGCTGTTCCCTGCTCTAGTAGAATTTTGGGTTTTTTGTTTTAAAATAAACTTTAATGCCATTAATACTTTAAAACAAAACCTCACCTCCCATTGCTGCAGATGTAAAATATGCAAAACTTAAAAGGACTAGTTTAGACAAGGGTATGAGGAGAGCTTAGAGGTGAAACAGGAGGATCCAAGGGGAGGGGAGAGTATTGGAAGGAGACTTTGCAATACCACTGGGCCTTCCAATTCTGCTGCTGTTTACATTCTTCATTGTGGCATCATTTGTACCCAAAGTGTGTTGAACTGGAAATATGGCACCCTTGGCTATCCAAATATTGGCCTACCTTATTTAACAGATTTGATCAAGTCTGTTGCTATTTCATGGTCATCTAATATAATAATTAATACGTTAACAAGTGCTGGTTACTTTAGGGATCCTTTGGGAGGAATGGTGGGATATAAATTTAAAAAATACATAGAGTAGTGTAGTGAAAGAGTAGACTTTTTGCTTTTTAAGCCTTGAATAGTTTTGTGCATTTGTATGTGCATATTCCAGGTGGCTTAGTGTTGTCCCATTTAGGGTCTGGCCATTAAAGACAGTTATATGTAATTGTGAAATCAGCCACTCAGTGGCGGAGGTTCATGCTCCGGCACGGGGGGGGGGCAAGTGCAGGGGGGGCAGTCTTGATGGCACCCTGCTGGGATCACGCAGCGGGGGGGGGGGGAGCTACCCTCGCACTCCTCTTCCTCTGCCAGTGCAACCACTTAATCTTAAAAGTGGAACAACCTGGCAAGAGCTAGGACAATTAGTGTCTCATCCTAAATATGTTTACTGCAAAGTCCTGAGTTCAGTGGGACTTTGCCCAATAATGATGCCCTATTACTCATACAACAGATCTATTGTTAGCACATTAGAAAATTACACACCATTCTTGACTAGGGTAGTTGGAAATTGTGCCTTCTGGCATGTGACTGCTGCATCAGTCATTTAAGTAGTAATTGTAAAATTTGTGCCATGATTGCAGCTGTGTAAATGCTTTTAGGAGATAGATCGCAGAATGGTAATTGTAATGGGTAAAGCACAATGCAGGTTGTATTTTAAACTTACAGGTGTGTATGGTGGTATTGGTGGTGCTTGATTTGGGAGTATGTCCAAACAGAATCCCCAGTCTTCATTAGTTCAATAGTGCAATGATTTATTTAATAAAGATGACTTACTGTGAAAACAAGCTTTTTAAATAGTGCAGTTTGGTGGAATAGGTAGCTTACACATCCACGGTGCCACTGAAATTGGATGTGTATCAAAAGCTTTTTCAATTTTTCAATAAGAGTATCACATGAAAACCAGCTGTTTTAACACGTTGAAATGTTTTTTTCATTCCTACTGGAAGCCATATTCTCTTAATTTGTGGCACAAACCGTGTACTCTTCTTGGTTCCTGAGGATAAGTGCTATGGGTTTATGAATGCCCTACGTGGCATTCTTAAGTAATGTTTGCTGTTCTGTTCCCTTGTGTAATGATGAAGAGTAGGCCTCAGTTTTATCAGATTATGCTATTTTGCATAATTTTTACAAATCATAGTTGTGACCACTTTGAAATCTCAGTCTGCTGGGAGTATGATTGGAATAGTAAGCTCCTGCCTGAAGGTCAGTAACTGCCCACAAAGTTCCTCATTTTCATAAGTGACAGAGTTACATCGTGGCTTTTAAAGTAGAACTCATTGTGCATAGCTGAATTGATGAACTCTTAAGTCAGTTATGGACAGGACAGAAGGTTTTCTTTATTTTGAATTTCATTCAAGTGTGATCATGCAATTCTCCCTCTTCCTAGTTCTGAGAGCTATTTTAAGAAAGTCTGTGGTCCCTGCCCCCATTGGATTGGGCCTTCTTGGTCCCATTTTAACTAAGTACAAAATAAATTTTATAACTTATGTCACTAAAGCTCTTCTGCAAATATTAGCTTTTAAAATGGTGTGTCACAATCTTTAATCGTAATATTTGTGCAGTTTGAATTACAAGACAGGGAATAAAGGTTTGGATAGAGGAAAAAACAGTTATAGACTTGAATTGTGTTAATTGATATGCAGTTAAATTAAAAGGTACAAAATGGATCTTCTCATAGACCTTTCCTTTGTTGTTGAGTGAAGAGTTTTGCAAATTCTC